ATTAGAATTTTTACACGGTATTAAGTTTAGTATGACACTTCCAGGTAAGTCTATGTCTAGGTGGATGCCGAGGTATTTAACTTCACTTGCTCGAGAGTTTCAGTATTGGGCATATTTCTTTCTTCAGATGTGACATGCTTACACATTTGCTCATTCACTTTTATGCGCCAGGTTGCCATCAATCTTCTAACGGGTCTTAAGTGGTTTTCTAGGATGTTTAAAGCTTTTATGGGCACTTGCAAATGTGGAAGTTAGTACTTTTCCGGACGACGGAATGTATGCAGTGAATAGGACATACAGAATTGGACCCAAAACGCTGCCTTGAGGAACACCAGCCATGATTAGACAATGTTCTGAAATAAATTCCTTTTCTTTAACTGTACCCCTTCTGTTAGTATCATACCTTACTGAAGATTATTACTGAAGATTTGATTAAAAATTTTTGGCAAGATCATTTTAATGCTACAACCGCATCAAGAAATATTGCTGACCAATACTCTTTCCACTCAAATGCCTTACTGATCTCATTGGTGATCCTTCTGATGGACTTGTTCTGTTTCATGTTTTCCACAAAAACCAAATTGATGGTTTAGTATAGTTTCGAATACGTGAAGAAAATGAGATATTCCAGATATCAGCACTTTTCAAAAAGTTTGAAAAGAACGGGCACAAGCATTGCCTCCTATTATTATGATCTCCGACTTTTTCCTCACATTCGGAATATATTCAAGTTTAAAGAAGGCGTTAAAAAAGTGAGCGAGAAATTGAAAGCAATATTTGGTAGCTCTGTTAGCATTTGTGATGTTATGTTTTGTAATGTTTTTGCTATGTCTTTTACCTCAGATGAGGTCGTAATCACGTTGGGAATAGTCATAGTGGTATAGTGAGACAAAAGTGGAATAGTAAATTACTATTATTATTACCAATTTTTTCGGTGCGTTGTCAGGCGAAATGGTTTCTCAACTATAGTTGGTTGTTCGAATAACTTGATCATAACTGGTGAATAATCGGATGACAAGTCAGAAACGATTTCTGCATTTATAATGTGTCAATGTTTTTTGTAACTGCAAAATATATAAGATCAGGTATTTTATTTGGATGAGATGTCCAATATCTGGGTTACCTAGGAAAAGCAATATCAAGATTATTTTGGTTACAAGGCAGGGTTAACGAGGCAGGAACCCCAGTACTTATATTTGGCATTTTAATCGCCAAACCATTAAGATGTTTGTCTGATATAAAAACCGTGGTGGATAATAGATGGTATAGATTACTAGTTTCTTTTCTTGATTTTTGAGGCAGACTGAAGTTCCTTGATACGAAGTCGTCTCTGACAATAGCATAACGACCACTTCCTGTTCTTGTAAAAACTTGCAACATCTGATTTTGGGCATTGATTAAATCCTGAACATACTTTGTATACAAGACATATGTAAATTGTGTCGTACACTGCGTAAGGTTAAGTATCATTCGGAGAAGCAGATTTTTATCAGATTCCTGTGCTAGAGGTGTTGGCACTCTATTGGCCATCAGTGCGCGGTGCGGGTTAGCTTTTGTTTCTTTATGAACAGCGCAGCTTCGATAGTTTGCAGTGTGTAACCTGCACAGTTACGGCATTTCTTAGCAGTTAAATCTTCCTTTTGCCTATTAAATTTAGATGAGTGATGTAATTCACCACATACTATGCACACAGTACCAAGAATACTATATGATTTTGTGTGGCCAAATTCTTGGCAATGCATGCATTGGACTTTTTATAAATGGGGCGCACTTAATTTTTTTTCAATTTTGCCGAGTTTGGTACAAGTTCTACCTTGTATATTGGTTGCTGAACTTTGGTTTTTTTAATAGCATTAATTAGGGCTCTAAGAACGAAGGATTCATCTAGAGCACCTTCGGACCCTACTGTAGCTTCTATGCCCTTTAGAACGACTACAAGACTGTTCCAAATTTTCAACTGTTACAACTTGGAGAAAGTTTTTTTCAAAGTACACTTGGAGTTTAGTCTCGTCTATATTACCCCGCTTCAAGGGATCAATGTGAAAGTTGTTAGTTCCTAATGCGCGGTATATTTTTAACTAACTAGTTTGAGCTCCGCTCGCGTAAATAGATTAGTGACGGCTTTACAGTTCTCGCTTGAGCATTATTACCTTCGGTAGAGTTTTTACCAATCGACTCTTCCCCACTAAATGCCGCGAACGTATATCCAAATAGTGAGTTTGAAGCTTCTTAAGTAGCGTTATTCGTGTTGGCCCTCTTTATATTGTTTGTATTATTCAGCGAGCTCGATTTTCGTTTCACGGTGATATACTGGTCAATACCTGTATGCACTATAGAAGTTTTCTTATTTTTTCCTTCCTCTGTTGTGTGCTTTTCTTTCCTATTGGAGACGGATTGTTTGAATTTTTTCTTAAGTTAGAGGAAACAACTGCAGAGTATACGTAAGCGAGTAAGCGAATGAATTCAACACCTGCGGTCTCTTTGAAACGATCAATGAGCAAACATTCATATTAATGCCAATTTATTTATTATTAACAATATTGCTTTTTAATATATTTTTATTAGTTGTTTTATCTTAATTTATATTTCCATTTGCTTTTGTTTTCATTTACTTATCTTTATTTTTTTATTCCTTACTTACTTCACTGGCGCAGACACCGCTTACGCGATTTTGGCCGAGTTAACAATATTGCGCCATTCGTTTCTTCTTTTTGTTGTTTGGCGCACATTGGAAATACCAAGTACAGCCAGATACATCTCTACCTGGTCTTTCCAACTGAGTTGAGGTCTTTCTCTTCCTCCCTTCCACCGGCGATTACTGGAGTATTCGCATCCATCCGGACCATGTGACCTAGCCAGCGTAGCCGCTGCTTCTATGTTCGCTGAACTATATCATTGTCGCCGTATAACTCGTACAAGTCATCGTTCCATCGTCTGCGATATTCGCCAAAGCGCAAAGGTCCATAAATCTCACGCAAAACCTTTCTTCTGGAAACTCCGAACGCCGACTCATCAGATGTTGTTATCGTCCATGCTTCCGCAACATATAGCGGGACGGAAACGATGAGGGACTTGTAGAGTTTGGTTTTCGTTCGTCGGGAGACGACAGAGAGTCCCCTGTCTGAAACCTCGTTTGGTGTCGAACGGCTCGGAGAGGTCCTTCTTAATTCCGACTGTGTTATCTAGCGTTAGTTTACATAGCCGTATAAGTTTTGCGGAGATACCAAAATCAGAAAGCAGCTCCTTTTCAAGCTTTCGAAACTTAACCCACATTGATAAGGTCCAATCAGTTTGCTGACGGTGCGTTTACATAATGCGCTCGTCAAGACCTTAGGTATGATATGAAGTAGGCTTATTCCACGGTAATTGGCGCAGACATGGGCTCTTTACCCCATGTTTGAATAGTTTTACCGGTAGGCCGTCAGCTCCAGCCGCTTTGTTGTTTTTTATGCGGGCAATTTCTATTCGAACCTGACCATAGTCGAGCAACGGAATAACTTTTCCATCGTCGTCAATTGGAGTAACGGGCTCAGTTTCTCCGAGTGTTCCATATCCACTGCCATTCAGCAAGCTGGAGAAGTGTTCACTCCATAAATTCAGTATACTCTGGGCATCGGTGGGTAGAGCACCTCTCCGGGTCCTACAAGAGTTTGCTCCGGTCTGGAACCTTCTGTAAGTCAGCGAGAACATCAACCAACTTGGCACTGGCACCTTCGCAATTACGAGACCGTACTCATAGATGGCTCCATCCAACTAAATAGTTTCAACTTTCAACCAGTAAAATACACGTATTCGAAGAAGGGACCTGCCAGTCTTTTCAAAACCAATGCTTTATCTAACGGTCACTAGTTATTGAGATTCAATAAATAAATTTCTCTAGTGTTAAAAAGGTACTAATTTAGAAAACATTGTCAGTATGTACGAACAAAATTTTACTAATTAAGCATTATCAAATATCTATCTAGTGTGCCCTCGCTTACCGGCCCGGCTCTATTGGTAAACTTAACCATCTCATCTATTATAATTTACGACTTATATTACCACAAAAGCCGAACAATGGTATTCTGGAGGTCATGGTTAGAGGTCTGTTTTGACCGACATCCAAATATATAGAAGAAAAATTTTGCCCTCGGAGGCGCTTTAGTATTGACCGTAGGTCCCTCTATTTGTTTGAAAAATATCAAGACGCATACCACAAATTGGAGCAGACGCTTCAACGGTTATAAAGCGCCAATTATGTACATACGAGTACATAATTTAAATGGCAAAATTCTTAAAACCACTTCAAGATGCTTCCTGTTACCCACCGCTCTATTCGTATATTTGGCACATCTCCAATAAGAAACATTTGACCTGTATCTGGACTACTTTTTTTTATAAAATAGCGCGAGATTTTTGGTTAACTAACGTTTAACATTTTACCAGATCTATCCCCCAAACTTTCGATAATAGTATCATCATCCATTTCCACAAGCAACAAGTTTGTAAAGAACAATGCGCTACTGCTAAAAACCGATTTACCTTACCGTAACAAACACCCATCGTAGAGAGTGAAAGAGTCTTCGTTTATTACCGATCTAATAAAGTTGCATAAGGCCAATGCCCCCAGTTGTGTTTTTCGCAGGAAACTCCTTTTATACTCCGATGCATCTTAAATAAGTAGAGATGCAAGATCTCCTTCACTGTAATCGGAGTTGAAAAACACATTTCCTTCTGTCCCTTTTTTCTTTTGTGGTTCTTGCTTGCTCATGAGACAAAACACGACTGAAATTCAAACTCTATTACCGTACGTCCTATATATATATATATATATATATATATATATATATATATTGATCATTTAATTTCTCTTTTCTTGAGAGAGTTTTTATTTACTTTTTGATATTTGGTCTGCATTAACTCTTCACTTCGAAAGGGTAATGCCTTGGCAAATTTGCAGAGGTAAAATGTGAGAAATATAAACATATATGTCAATTAGGAGTATAGTCACAACAAATTACCTGCATCATGAGGAATAATGCTTTGTCCGGCAGATACTTCTGTTTGCAGCACCTGTTGACTCTGGCTTTGATGTTGGTTGCCGCTGTGATCATCATTTTTAGTTGTGTCAAAGTTCTGATTGTCCTGTTCGGATGCTTTTATGTCATCGTTCACCATATATTTATATTGATGATGATCAATGTGCTCATCAACACCTTCATCTTCGGAGTCTGACATAAATGTTTCATGCATCAATTCCGGTGCAACTACTTTATATTTCTCTTCCAAGTCCCCGGTAATTTTATTAATCACTGATTTTTCGGTAACCACTTTCAAAGTTTCCACAGCAGTAACATATCCCAAGTTATTAGCAATACCGAAAGCAGTTTGGCCGTTCTATGCCACAAATTGTAGAACGAGAACGTAAAGATTTTTTTATTATTCTATTACTGTCAAAAAATGTTTCAATGTAAGCAAATACCGTGAAATACAAACATAAATAAAAAGTAATACAATAAACAAAAAACAAACAACTGAAGAATATAATGTATGTACGAAAATGCAACAACTAAAGCTATCCTTTACTCACTGCAAGCCATTCGACTTGTAATTGGGGTTTGTTTTGTTTTGTGAAAAATATATACACATTATTTATTTTTAGACGAAACAAATACGCCAACGTACAATTATGTATTTCCAGAAATATATATACATACATATGGAGATAATGTGTGTACATTACATTAAGTATACTACATATAAAGTGAGTAAAGGATTCTGTGGGAGAGAATTTGCGAGAATTATCTACTACTCCTAGTCAGTGTTGGTCACCTAGTTTTCGTTTTATAAACTCTAACATACAAAAATGTTGAACAAATCAGTCTATTTATTGATGTGAGGGCTATTTGGGTTGAACAACATTATGTACCTGAATTGCTCCAAATTCTTTTTACCGTTCCTGGTTTCAAACACCACCTTCGTTCAAAATTGGACCCGCTGAAGAATCCTAATCAAATCTATAGTCCCAATCCCCACACACATCCGACGCCCGCGTGGGAGCTATTTAGTAGCAGCGAAAATGAATCCATGCTAATGTGCTACTCGACTCAATTGGTGTGTAAAAGTCGGGAGCAGTACTGCCTAAAGTGTATTCACTACTAGGGATAAGAGGGATATCGGCTGATAAGACTGACTCTCCCACTTTACGCACATCGGGTATTTTTAGAGTGGTCAGAAACAGATGTGAGAAAGTTTTTTTCTGCTGGTCGTAGATGTTTTAGCATGAGCATGCTTATTCCGTCGGGGTCGATGGATTTGGAAACTTTCGCCTTCCCGATGACTCCTGTGCCTCTTTCCTGGAGAAATCAAGCGTTGAGTTGGCTTGCGACATTTTTTTCTATGTCAACCGAAGGATGAAGAGTAAAAACTCGGCTTAAATAGCTAGCGCATCTCTTCGGTTCCGACGAGTCGCGATCACCGAATAAAAATATCCACTCGGTCATCGCATTTCGTCGGGTTCATTGTAAATAAATTGATTGTAGCGGACTGTCTGGATGAAGCGGACAGCAGCGGTCACGACCATCCTTCGGTCACGACTATCACCGGTTGTGACGTCTGGTGGAGAAGGAAGAGCACTGAAGGCGTTCACGGTAAATTCCGTGAACCCCGGGCCAGTTCCCTATTTCAAATTTCCGGTGGACCGCGAAAACAAAGTCGGGAAGCCTGTCAATCGACATTTGCATGGGTAAGTGATACAATGCTTACGCCAGTACAGGTCGACAGATTATACTTTTCATCAAGCTAATACTCCAAATTTTAATGTCTGGCGACTTTTGGCAATTACCCACAACTTTGTTAGGGGTGTTATACTGCATGGTGCAAAATGTCGAATCGTTTATCTGTTCCGCCAGCTCTATTCTTCTACGGTCATTTGACAGGCTAGAAAGCTAAGGATCGTGATGCGCGTTAAAATTGCCCTAAACCAAACTGTTTTCGCCCCTGAAAAGCGCACCTATACCAGGCCTACATCCAACATGCATCCCACTACATCCAACCATGCTGACGATATCGCCATCGTAAAATAAATCCTAAGCCGCCCCCCCCCCCCACGGTCTCGCTCGTGATCCTTGCGGATAATGTTGAATCCGTTCCGGTTCAGAAGATCAGAATGGGCGGTCAATTTTAATTTCTGGATCGCGCCAATTGACCGGTCCCATATCTTATAGTCGACTACCTCGTCGATCTCTTTCTGGAGTTCCTTTCAGTTAAATTGTTATTGTCGTGTCTGTCTCGGGGAACGTTCGTAATACAAAGGGTGAGGGATTGGTTATTTGGTGTGGAGCTGTTGCTGTAATAAGCGCTGGATTGGATGCAGCACGTTAATGTTGGTTGGCGGCGATGTTTCAGATAACGACGGGAACAGAGCTTATCCAAAAATGGACTAGCTCGTGCAGGAGTTGCATCTGACTGATGTCATGTTCCGACACACGGAGTAGACTGTGCGGAAGTCTAGGAGCTGCTGGGTAGCCCTCGCACAAAAGGAGGAAGAGGAATTTGTGGGTTGGTGTGGCGGTGGGAGTCATGATGAAAGGTGCTTCGTGAGACCGTAGAGTTATGTGGTTGGATACCCAGAGTGGGTAAACTTGCTAAAAGCACTGTCATAGAGGCTGGGGGCAGTTATGAGCGCTAACAGATTGGATCCACATAGATTGTGGACCACACTCTGTATGTTGTCTTAGGGACTGAGCTGGCCTTAAGATGGCTCCACCCAATGCATTGGTTACATCTAACAGAAATGTAGGTTTGGTGGTGTCTATTTTGACACACGCAACAGAAACAATCCGTCTGACCAAGGTGACTTCGACGTCAGACCTGGAGAGAAGGGTTTGGAGCAGCCCAGCTGCGAGGTGTTGCTCAATTGCTGACCTTAGACTAATTTTAATCAGCAGCTAAACTTGATTAGAGCGCCAAAAGCGTGACAGCCCTTGGCCGCCTGAAACTCCCTACAGACAGAGTTTTCATGATCCCGTCCTGTTATACAGTGCAGAGGCATGGACGATGACACCATCTGCGTAAGTTGGGAACGTCAAACACCGCAACCGATGGAATGATGAGCTGTAAGAGAAATATGGCGATATTGACATAGCTCAGTTAGGTCATGTAGTGCGGATGTATAAAAATACTCTACTTTGAAAGTTTTCGACGCGGTAACCGCTGGTAGAAGCATGAAAATGAAGACCTCTACTTCGTTGAATAGGTTAGGTAGAGAGTGACCTGGATCCCTACTACGTATTGCGGTTCGAAAGAAGAAATGGTCGAAGTCGAATAAATAATGAACAAGAATATAATAGCGTTTTAATTAGATGCTGCTAAATTTACGGTACTACCTAACGCGAATGTGACGCTGAGTTCTATTCGAAAATGTCAAATATCATTCAACAAGAAACTAGCATTCGGAGCGGTAGGAAAATGAAGGTTCACAAGGCATCTTAATTTTTTTTATAAAAACAAACATTGTATTAGGGAACAAAGAACATGCGGACCAAAATAAAGCAATTTGAAAAATGGTAGATATCATGTCATTTTGCATGTTGCTTTTCATTTGCTGTATTTGCAGTCATTTTAAACACAATATGTTTTGGACAACGAACTTTCTCTATTGCATTGCGAGCTTCCCATAAATATTTCGACACCGTATGATGTGCAAATCAAATTTGAAAATCTTGCCCTATTGAAAACATATAAAAATGTTTTTTTATTCAGTTGAAAGATTTGAATAAAACTGTATGAAAAGCATATTGAAGTCGTAGATAATTTCGTCTATCTGGTTCCTACATACACACCAACAATATTATCAGCCTTGAATTCCAACGCACTCTTTCCAATAAGTGCTACTTTGGACTGAGTAGACAATTGAAAAGTAAAGTCCTCTCCCGACGAACAAAAACCAAACTCTACAAGTCCCTCATGGTTCCCGTCCTGCTATATGGTGCGGAAGCATGGACGATGATAACATCTGATGAGTCGGCGTTAGGAGTTTTCGAGAGAAAGGTTTTGCGTGAGATTTATGGTCCTTTGCGCATTAGCAACGGCGAATATCGCAGACGACGGAACGATGACCGAGTGTACGAGTTATACGGCGACATTGATATAGTTCAGTGAACTAAGAAGCAGCGGGTACGCTCATGTGGTCTGGATGGATGCGATTACTTCAGCTTGGAAAGTTTTCGATGCAGTACCCGCCGGTGGAAGCAGAGGAAGAGAAAGCCCTCCACTCCGTTGAAAAGACCAGATGGAGAAGGACCTGGCTGTACTTGGTATTTCGAATTGGCGCCAAACATCAAAAAGAAGAAACGAGGGGAGCAACGTTTTTAAATGACTCATAATCGCGTAAGCGGTGTCTGCGCCAGTAAAGTGAGTAAGAATTTTCAAGTTCAAATACTTTCATCGCGAATCATTTATGTAAATTTCGAATAAAGTACTGTTACATTTTAAAATTACGTTACGAAAGCGAATGCGCAAACAGTAGGTAGTGCCACTACCAGTTCGGATCGCATCTTGCATTCGAATTGCCATACGTAATAGAGGCCCTAGCTGTAATTGGTATTTCCAATTGGCGCCAAGCAGCGAATGAATGACGCAATAGTGTTAACTCGGCAAAATTCATGTAAGCGGTGAGTATGACAGCAAAGAAGTCAAGGCTTTTCCTCGTCGTATCTGTCATAGACAAAATGAAGTGACAAGCGAGCAGCCGTCCACGCAAATTACCAAACACTAGTGTGGTATTTTCCAAGGAAGCTATTAAGGGAATTATCGGGAAGGCGAAAGCTATAAGCATTCTGATGTTAAATATTTCGAACCTGCGGGATAAGATTTCTTTGCCTACTCGTATAACACCCTGTTGTTGCGGTAAAGCAAAACAAAAAGCAGGATTATTTCTTAACGTAACCAATCCAGCAAAATGAAAAAGGATAAGAATGCAAATTTACAACTAGAATTAACCCTTGAGTGACACTTAACAAATGTTTGTGCAAATAATAATATGGTTTGATAATTTGTTGTTTTCAGGAATCGTCTCGACTGTTTTCAATGTTTAACCGATTAATTTAAGCGATTAACCATTTTGTAGGTGGAGCAGTTTCTGACAGTACAGCGACTACATCGCCTTCTTGCTTCCTTGCACGGAGGAAGAAATCATTTAGTCCGGCTTTGCAAACTCAACAAGTATTCATCTTTCCAACGCCGCCAGAAATTTAGCCTTATTGCTGATGTCGCGTGCCATCGCTGGTGAATATTTCCAATGAACCCTTAACCCTAAGGTTCTAATAGAGACCTAAGCGCCTCTTCGAATATTAAATGCCCAGGATTTAACATCGGTACTCGTGGAATTTTCGCTA